CACTGTTCAAGCTGGCTCGGCATGTCCCTCCTGCTTGCGGTTGCAGGCTTCGCTCGTCATGCTCGACAGGATGGCGTGAAGGGCGCGAGTGATGCGCGCCCAGCCTCGGTCCGACGCGAGGGCGCCCTGCCGCGGAGGAGCGCAAGGCACGCCGTGCCTGGGCGCGCGTCTCGGCGGACAGGGCGATCATCAAGTTGTCGGGCGAGGTGGACCGCCACAGCGGGCTGCTGTCGGCGGCTCAGGCGGCCATGGATGCAGTCGTCGGCGACGCGGAGGCAGCGCAGCGTCTTCGGGCGTTCCTCCCCGCGCTGCTGGCAATGCTTCGTCGAGAGCCGCCGACACGGCCGGAGAGGCTGCGGCGGAACGCCGCCCTCCACGCCGATGCTCCCAGGGTCGACGTGGCGGTGTTGGACGCTGCTGCGCCCAGAGGGCCTCTCCTCGAAGCTCGGCGGGGTGGCATGGGCTTTGGTGCCACCCTCCTCTCCTCGGAGGCGTCCGAGGTCCTCGCGCCCTGCAAGGTGTGCGGCTCGGGCGGCGGCGCCGAGGAGCTCAAGAAACAGTTCGACGCGGGCCTGGCCACGGTCGGGGGAGCGCAGACATGGAATCTAGCGATCCGTAGATGTGGCGCGCGGTCGCCAAGCCCGTGGATCGGGGGAGGCGCCCTCCCCAGAATGCGGCCGGTGCCGCCTCGCTCGGCGGCGGAAGGGCAACGGGACCCGTGGCTCATCCATGTTTGCGATCGCCTTAGCGTTCCGTCCCCCCCTGAGCCGCTCGCTCCGTCCGCCCCTTCTTCGGCGGCGCCCCCCTCCTCGCTTCCTCTTGCATGGTGGCACAGTTCGCCCTCTAACGGCATCCCCGTTTAGGCATCCCGTCGCCAGCGCAGACGTCCCTGCCTAGCCGCCGGCGCAACAAGACTGCAATCGCCCGACACGGTGCTGTCGCGCTGGCCCGGGCTCTGCGAGCCCACCACGTTGGAGGCACGACGGGGGAGTCTCCCCAGACGTCGCGGGGACGACCTCGCTTCCTCTGGTCCTGGAGGAGGGGGCTGTGGCGGCAGGGGCCCGGCCTCGGGGGAGCGAACGTGGACGCCCCTGGTGCCTCGGTGCCGCGGGACGCCTCCCCCGAGTACGCTCGGGTCCGGCATGTCCCCCTACAGGCGGATTTTGGAGGAAAACTGAAATGGTCAGAATGCTTCAAATGATACCGGAGAACAACCCAATCAAAGACTTTTTAGGGCTATAGGGCGATGGGGCTACTGGGCTATAGGGCGATGGGGCTATTGAGACTATAGGGCTATGGAACTATTTATAACTCAGAGCTTAAAAAGTGACAACGTTTCACAGATGGAGGGCGGATGGTTTTAGAAATCTGGTTCTCGCCTTCGCGCCGCGCACATTCGCTTAAAAAAATGCACGAGTTTCACTGATTGAGGGCGGGTCGTTTTCAAAATGTGGCTCTCGCCTTAGCGCCGCGCGCATTCGTTTATTTAAATTTGCACGAGTTCCACGGATTCCCATGATCAACGTACCAAAAATGGTGTTTTGGAAAGATTCAGGATTATACGGGCGCAACAGTTGTGTTCATTCGCTGTGTTGAAGTCCAAAAAATAGCGTTCTGGGACGAGGGAGCTTGTCAGGAGGGTTGATTCCAACATCGTTGATGACTCTTGGGGTTGCCGCTGGTCCTCCTCCTCCTCCTCGTCCTCGTCCTCCTCCTCGTCCTCCTCCTCCTCCTCGAACCTCCTCTATGCTCCTCGGTCCTCCTCCGCACGGAGGGCTTGAGGCCGGGCCTTCGCCCTGGCGGCCACCGCCCACGGCGAGGGCTCCCGCCGCCACGGCCGCGGCCGCGAGCACGGCAGCCCAGCGCGCCATGGCGCTGGGCCACGGGGGCACGGTGGAGCGGCCCGGGGGGGGGCCTCCGCCACTGTTGCGGCGACTGAGGTTCGGTTCTAGGGGGACGAAGATTGACAGACACCTTAAAGCTCGGAGGGACGCGCGGATTTTTCGGATCCGCGCTGGGGCCCCCCTGGCGGCGCCTTCAACACCGCCCCTGGCGCGCTCCGCTCCAGCGCGGATCCGAGAAATCCGCGCGGACCTCGAAGTTTATGTCATTGTTTGTTCCCCAGATGCCGCGACGGAGGTTCGGTTCGGCCTCCGTGCTGGCCCCCGTGGGAGTGGTCCCCTAAAGGACAGGCGGTGCTAAAGGCAACGAACTACAAGCCAGGCTGAATAAAATGATACACCTCATGCCCTGCAACATCGGAAGGGAGGAGGGAAGGAGGAGGCCGCCTGCTGCTGCTGCTGCTGCTGCTGCTGCTGCTGCTGCTGCTGCTGCTGCTGCTCCGAGGCCAACGAGCTCACTGTTTACTACGGCTCCAGGGGGGTGCAGCCGAGCTTCGGCAGAGGTGCATCGGCTTGGGCTTGTGCTGGAGAGCAGCCTCCAGGGCCGCCAGCGACTGGCATCAGCCAGAGACGAGGGTACGAGAACACGCAACCTTGCT